TGTTAGATCTTTTTTCTCTCTCTCTCTGTCTCGGTTGTTCCCTCCCCGTCCATCAAATGGAATGGTTGTATGATGTACTATTTTGTGCAACGACCCAACCTGATAAACATTCTTTCAAATTTATGTTTTCAATGGCCATATTTTTTAGCTTGCACTTCTGTTATTCGTTAATCGCATGCGATCTCGTTTTCTGTTTCTTTTTTTACTATAGCGCCCAGTTGTGAGTGGATCGTTCAAGTAGATCCCATCACACAATTGTCAGTGTACAAACATGTCCCATCCGGTCAAACGGAGTCCACTATGCCCGAAGCCTATGAGCGCTATCTTTGTGAGTTCGATCGATTCATGCGGAGCCAAGAAACCGCCTATTCCTCAGAAACGATGGATGTACCATCTGGAGATTGTCAGGAGTTTGAAGAAAGCGCTACCACTCGTGTGTCCCAAAAACGTAGACATATTCTAGCTGATGATATTATTGACACCGAGACCAATGCGCTTCAAGGCCTATTGGGCTATAGCGATTCATCAGGCGCGGAAAAGGAACAGTGTGATGGTCTTAATGCGCGTCAACGCCGCCGTATGAAACGTGCTCATCGACGTAACATGACCACGTCGCGTTTGTCCAACGCAACGGAGTTGGTTGAGGTGTCTCAACCAGCTGAATTTATTGGACCTTTGTTGCCAGTTTCTGCGTGCGACCCTTCTCAGGATCCTCAGGGATCCCCGACTCTATCGAACTCAGACACATCGGATAGCAAGGTGTCGGTGGTTCTTAAGCGACTCCCCGAACACGATAGCAAGGTTAGTGTGAATTACTTGTTTGTTATCATCATTACTAACTGGTGATTGATTGATCTTGACCACACATTCATGGTTAAGCATTCCATGACTTCCCTATCCGTGCCTGACAGCACTTACTTGGACTACCTGTGACTCGTAATGCTCGAAATTCAAATTCGATTGAAGTACCATCGATAGTTTGGTTACTATCGTCCTGTGAAAGAAATTTTATTAATCAGATTTATTTTCTGGGTTCAACTTCACCTGAGTCAACGTGTTGGAAGCCTAATTAGCTACCTGTCTTATTTTTAACTTTTTGGTCAGTAAATTTTATTTAGCATGTATTCGTATCTGTTTCTGGGACCCCATTTTTATGAAAATTCCCCAGAAATTGGAAGCATAGTTTCCCCGTAACGAATTTGAATAAAGAAGCTAAAAACAGGTTTACACAATATATCCCAGATCATTTCGCTGCATGAGAGTGGTCCTGCAACTGCCCTTCAAGGGTGACGATATCAGCTGCCTGATTACCAAGCGCCTAAAATCAGCCGTTAAGCGCACCTACTACGCAGCTGACCCCATCGTTATTTTTACAATCACCCGGGTGCCAATACCATCGGTGAAAGAACCGCTGTTTCCCCACGCCAAATCTAATTGTATCTATCAGTTCAAGTGTGGATGCTCGACCACCTACATCGCCATAACAAACCGAGTTACCGAGCACATCCTGGTCTGGCTTCAGAAAACAATGNATGAGATCACCATTGCCCCGTAGGAAACTCAGTTCGTCGATCACACAACACCTGATCGAAATGAAAGACCGTCATGCTGCGCGACGCGTTCAGAATCCTCTACAGCACAAACAACAACAAGGTTCTGAAATACGCCGAGGCACTAGCCATTCAAAATTACCACCCCAAACTGTGTAAATAGCACGAATGGCGCTACCTTGGTAACAGATGTTCGGTGGGTAATTTTGACCGCAATCTTTCTCCGCCTATGATTCTGTTATTTTCTTACCATATATTAATGATCACATAGACTGCAGTATGCTTGTGTACAGATGCAGCGAAATGATCCGGGATACACACAAACCATCAACCTGAGCTACAAACCACACCCATATTCAAATCTGTCGAGAAGATCCGGGATACATTTTGCAAACCTGTTTTTGGCTTTATTAAAATTCCGTAACTCAAAATTTCAGTTTTCATGTCGAGGGTAAAAATGGCGAAGGTCCATTTTGTATTAAAGTGTCGCACGTAAGCACCCACTCACTGTTGTGTGAAACCATGTGGCAATTAT